CTCTGGAGCTGGGCATGGAGCACACAGGACTTTGCATGTGTGGACTGGAAAGAGCAGCTCAAAGATTATCAGCTCATCAGGCAGCTCCTGAATCACACTGAGATGCACAGAAATAAGTTCTCTCTCCAGCGAAATCCCTTGAACAATGCAATTTAGAATGTAAAGCATTTCCTTCCTTGCGGGTTTGCCTTAAACACCTCACCTGGGGAACCACCAGAACAGGCATTCCGCTCTTCTGACACTCAGCTCTCTCACTGATTTTTAACACTCAGGTACAAATCCTATGTAAAGAATTCCCTATAAAGAGTAGGTCATTTTAACAGAATAACATTCCCAACAAATGGGCATTATTGATTTCCATAGCTGACAGACACAATACTTCTGCTGAGAACTTTATTTTCCTCATGAACTTTTTTGGAGCTCAGTTTCCCTAATTTCACATTCCCAGGCAAACGAAATGCCTTTACCCCTTGCAGGTAAATGACTGAGATACTTGAAGGAATTGCTTCTTGCAATCCTTTCCCTACAAAAGCAGAAAAGCCCTCAGGCTGGCTTTACTCCCAAATTCCTTTTCCTATTACTGTTCTCTCATTTCCACAGACCTTGTTATCAGTACATCCACCAGGCAATTCCAAGGGATCCTTCATCCCAAAACTGCGGCTCAGCCCTGCTGGAGGAGCTCCTGGAGTCCAGGAACATCCCTTTTTCTGCCCTTTTTCTGCCACTCCTGACCCGAATTCTGCTGTCCCACACAATTCTGCCAGCCCAGACCCAGACCTGAACTCTGCCATCCCCTTTTGCTCGTTAAATCCAGCCGTGGCAGATGACAGGTTTACTGATTTACAGAACAGCCCTGGAAAAACCAGTTTCCTGAAGTGTCTCAGAGATGCCATTGAACTCTCGGAGCAAAGCACACCCAGCTCACACCTGGCCAGGTGCTCACACTGCAGGTGTGTGACACACAGCCAAGGACAAAGCCCGGTTTTCCCTGTTAGAAACAAACCCCAGCACACCCCAACAGTGCTCACAGCAGGCACCAGGGCACTTGGAGGCTCCTTTCCTTCCCCTGTCCAGCAGCACCAGCCCATCGGGTTTTTAAGGTCACAAACCTGAACGTGAGGCTGAAAACGCTGTGTTGATAATTCCAGTCTGGAGGCTGGAATCCCTTCAGTGTCACAGACCGAGAAATCTGAGAACTGGGGTAACAACAGCACCATTGTCCCATTTATCTCTTTTAAAACCCATCTTAACCTTTCTGCGTGAATGGGATAAAACTCTGAAGGCAGGATAAAGCCAGGTTTGTCCATCCCCAGCCACAATTCCATGACAGAAATGTTGTGTTTGAGCCCTGCAGCTGCCTGGGAAATCAGGATCCAGGATACAACCCAGAGCAACCCTCAGAGACAATAACCCCCGGTGCTTTTCTCACTCTTCCCATAAAATGGGTCAATATCCAGGAACAACTTCACTTGTATCCAAAAGTGGGGAAACGCCCCAAATCCTGAGGAACTGCCCGGCGTTTCACGGCAGAAAAGACAAAGAGCAGAATGTAAATATTGCACATTTCAAAGGCCAAACCCCAAATACAGCAAGCACGAGGCACCAAAACCACCTCTATTCTTGCAGCAGACTATTTATAATAATAATTATCCTTTCTATTCTTAGCTTTGCTCCGCTTTGTACTTTCAAACACGAATTAACACGGTGTTAAATGCGAGCTGAGGTATGAGCCTCTGACTGATTCTCCTCAGCCTGACAGCTTGAAGGCAACGCCGGTTCCATCCCACAAAAACAATGAGAGAAATGGCAACTTGCACATTAAGTGTAAAACGCACAGTCCCGCTGCGAGCGTAATTTTGCACACCAAAATACAGGGAAGGGAAAAAAGAAAAAAGAAGGTAGAGTGGAAAGAAAATAGGGAAAATCCATGGGATTGCTGTTGCATAAATTTCCATGGAAAACCAGGAAGAGATAGGAGAAGGATAAATGACATTCCTGTGCGTGAAGGATGGGCAGGGTGGCTGCACTGCCATGGGGAGCGGAGTGGAAG